TGTGTGTGTGTGTGTGTGTGTGTGTGTGTGTGTGTGTGTGTGTGTGTGTGTGTGTGTGTGTGGAGGCGCAGCAGCGGTCAGCTGTCAGAGCAGGTTTGTGTGACAGAAACATGCCTGCAGGCAACAATCACTGCTGTCAATCACAAACATGCTACATGTGTGTGTGGCTGAGCTGACACGCTGCGTTTAACGAGACGCTGCTTTGATCTGTCAATCACACACACACACACACACACACACACACACACACACACACACACACCTGCATGTTAGCCTCTAATGCCTCAACACATCCAACAGATGTTTATCAGATGATGTTATAACTGTCGACTCTGACGGTTACAGCTGCATTTGTCAATGATGTGGTTTTACAACCTTCCCATCTGTCATCCGCTTTCAGTTTTCTACGTGAAGCGCAGCAGCACCAGGAGCTCGTAYGGGTTGCTCTGGAGTCTGGGCCGGACCCAGTTCAGCTGCCCCAGTCGGGTCCTGAGAGACCAGTGGACAAAGCAGCTCAAAACTGCCGTCAAAACTCACAGTAAGGATGAACAGTTAGATCATAGGAGCTTTTCCATGAAAGGACAGTCATCCATCCATCCATCCATCCATCCATCCATCCATCCATCCATTATTTTCCACTTTATCCAAAGTCGGGTCCCGGGAGCAGCAGCTTGAGCCCAGACCTCTCTTTCCCCAGCCTCCTCTTCCAGCTCTTCGGGGAGGACTCCAAGGCGTTCCCAGGCCAACCAAGAGACATAGTCTCTCCAGTGTGTCCTGGGTCTTCCTCTGGGTCTCCTCCCAGTTGGACATGCCTGAAGCACCTCCCTGGGGAGGTGTCCAGGAGGCATCTTTACTAGATGACCAAACCACYTCAACTGGCTCCTCTCGATGTGGAGGAGCAGCGGCTCTACTTTGAGTCCCTCCCAGATAGCTGAACTTCTTRCCCYATAAGGGAGAGTCCAGCTACCCTGCAGAGAAATCTCATCTCGACAACTGCCATACTTTAAACAACCTTTAAACTGTACATCAGTCTTATTAGATGATCCAGCYAACCTGTACCATCTGACTGTACCTTTCAGGCCCCTTGCGACCACGTAGACTGCTGGTGTTCATCAATCCTTATGGTGGGAAGAAAAAAGGAAGGCAAATCTATCATTCTCTGGTAGCCCCTCTGTTTGAGCTGGCTGACATCAGCTCACATGTAATAGGTAAACTTTTCAATTTTAAAACTGACTCCCGGGTTTTAAAAGACCAACAACTCGCCTGCTYGGATTATCACTGATTTTAATCACAGAATGTACTGTTTAGTGACCGAACGGGCAAACCAGGCCAGAGATCACCTCCTGAAGAAAGATCTGACAGGTTTTGATGGGTGAGTGCTGCCAGCTCTGTGGTGTAAACACTGTGGTGAAGAGAGCATTATAAAGCCTGACTGGGAGGTGCWCTTATGTAACAAAAAACTCTTGTGYTTGCTTTACTTTTTTTGACAGTGTGGTGTGTGTGGGTGGAGATGGCATGTTCAGTGAAATCCTCCATGGTGTGATTGGGCGCACGCAGCAAGAGGCCGGCGTTTGTGAGCACGATCCTGCTGTCCCTTTGCAGCCGTGTCCACTTCACATTGGCATCATCCCTGCAGGTCCTTGTTGTGCTGATACAGCCTGTAGGGCTGGGTTTGAAAAGAATGTGTTCTGATTTCTCTCATCTGATGCAGGTTCGACAGACTGTGTGTGCTACGCCACAGGGGGAGTGATCGACCCCGTTACTTCAACTCTGCACATTATCGTTGGTAAGAAGTGGTTTTCTCTCAAATAAAGCAAAATGCACTTGTTCTGTTGACGTCTAACATTGCTTATTTCAACTCTCCGGTATCTTACAACACCTTGCAGGAGACTCTCAGCCGTTAGACGTGTGTTCGGTTCATTACGGCTCAGGGTTGGTGCGATACTCAGTGTCGCTGGTGGGCTATGGCTTCTATGGCGATGTATTGTCTGAGAGTGAAAAACACCGCTGGATGGGACCTGTCAGATATGACTACTCAGGTCTGGATTGCTTTTCCTCGAAAGAAATATAAAAACTAACTTTGCCYATAATCTTGCATGCAGAGATACTGACTGCTGAAAAACGTTCCACAGAACGCCACTTCAAAATATTCAAACTATTTCTTTAAGTTGTTTTAGATTGTGAAATGGGCCTGGTGAGATAGTGTCCCTGGTGATTTTCTAGCTTGCTAACAGCTAACACACTCACACAGTGTGGGTTATTAGCGCTATGTAACATAATTTAAAGTGTTGAATGTGGCCCACAAGTTCCTTGATTTCACATTTTATGCAACACTAATAATTGTACATCTGTTGCTGCACAGTCCAAGCAAACTCGGTGTCTGTTTATTTATTTTTTGTACAGGTGCACTGGTGTATCTGAGCAACAGGAGCTACGCAGGAACAGTTCATTATCTGCCAGCAGACCCACTGCTCTCCAGCCCCAGAGACAAAACACGCTGCCTCTCAGGGTACATACAACACCAGCTGCTGACACAAAATAACACGAATAATTACATGTAATTAGCTCAAGAAAGAGAGAAAGAAAGAGAGAAAGAAAGAAAGAAAGAAAGAAAGAAAGAAAGAAAGAAAGAAAGAAAGAAAGAAAGAAAGAAAGAAAGAAAGAAAG